GATCATAAGTGACAATAAGTCTTCTGTATAACAATACACATTTAGTTATGCTTAAATTTATCAAATACAAAATCAATGTTTATACCGATAAAGACAATATTTAAAGATTGTAATATTAATAACCTTTAAAAGAGAGGCGAAAGATACCAAAGGGACATTCAAACTCATAAGTCGAAAATAAACTGACAATGTCATGGCTAAAAAAGAAAAAGACAAACAAACAATAATACACAAAACACAACATATAGAAAACTAAAGACTGAGCAACACGAACCCCACCAAAAACTGGGGGTGATCTCAGGTGCTCCGGAAGGGTAAGCAGATCCTGCTCCACATGATTGTTGCACCCGTCGTGTTGCTCATGTTAGTACAAACCCGGTTATAAGTCACATTCGGGAAAAGGGGACGGGGTTGGTGTTCCGACATTTGGAACATATCCGCTATCATCTGTGAAACGGATATTCCATAACGGTCAACCAACTCGTGATGGCGTCCGTAAAATTTACGAAGGGATGATTTCAACTTCACTTGTTCCGACTTCCTCTTGGTTTAATAGCTTCCTTGTGAGCAGCATCCCTCTATCAAGGAAATCATGATAGGCAATTCAAGCCCTGGAATATCGTATCAACGGGAGATATATACTCCGTATGCAGGCGCTGCTGGAATGTTGCTACAAAGAAATGGAAAGTTAAAAATAGATATATCCAAAATTCAAGGATCAATTTGACATGGATCGCATATGATTATCTAAATTTCTGCGACGCTTAGAATGATCTATCGGAAGTATTTTAAAATTTTAAAAAATAAGAGCGGCAAATTAGTTTATTTTATAAGAACTTTACCGGCGGGATATTACCGATTGCAATGTTAACTTTCTGTGTAATGTTTTGCTTTCCCCGGGAAATGGAAATTTTCATTCCATGAATTGTCTCCCACACCAGTTCCTTTATTAACTCGAAATTATGGTCTGGTCGACAATTTTTAGGGGAGTAATTTCCTTGGAAATATAAATAATTTGGATGTTGACACAAGTTATACGGCTCTGATCAGATTTCAATAAAATTTATTTCAAAGGTTTACAGCAGCTATATCTCTGATGAGGTCGAAAATCAAAGTAATCGACATTTTTAGGGAGTTATGCTACTTGGAAATGTAAATAATATCGGAAAAATCAACTCGTGAGCGCTTTCGTACCAATGTTTCTCACTGAAATTCAATGAAATTGATATCAAAGATTTACATCAGCAATATCGCAGACTAATTTGAAAATCAGTTCAAATCGATGATTTTCAAACGAGTTATGCCCTTGAAAATATAAGCGGTACCGAAAATTCCATCATAATACGGACTTGGAAATCTTAGTTTTGTTTAAGAAGGGGTTGGTTAACTTAAGCCATTTACTATGAAGTGATAGGCATTTTTTTCGAGACCATCAGTGTCTTAATCATATGGGACTTAAATCGTGATGGTCAAAACCCAGGTAGATGACGACTCTCTTTTTGAAATACACTTATGCCGTGCACTGACATTTTATTTAAGAATTGAATGCTTCTTTTTGTAAACTTATTGGGGTGTAAAAGCGTTGACCGAAGTACATTTTGTATAAATGTGTGCACGGTCGACGCTTTTACAACCCTATAAAATTACTAAAAGAAGCATTCAATACTTATAATTACATTTGTTTTTGCTAGGATCATGAAAACACGATTTCTATCAAGTTTTCTTTTTTTACCTGTGCACTTTATTGTGGAAGCTCATGTCATCATGAATGTTACATTTCATTTTGAAATGAAGGTTAATTTTCAGAATGACGCGAGATTGCTGTTAGCCAATCAAAATAACGTATTATAATGAAACATACATGTAATGTTATTAAAAAATATGAATTGAAACAAATCAGATGCGGATCCAGGATTTTGAAAAAGGGGTGGCCCACCAACAAGACAACGTTAAGAGTGAGACTTGCAAAAATACAATGCATTAACCATATAATTATGTAGCTCCAAAAAGGGGAGGGACGCCTCAAGCATGTGTTTAGGTACATGCAGGTATAAATCGGAATATCGCCTTGACCTGCATTTCATGCACGATTGTCTGTTTTGAAAGTTTGCGTAGAGTGTCGTACCGTAGAAAATGAATGTTACAAGCTCCTGATTTTGGAAAGACTGAACATGTACAGCGCTGTGTTAAACTGTTCTATAATGTCCTCCTTTTAATTTCCATTTGTGGGATACGGCCAAAAATTTACACTTGTTTCCTGTCTCCTGATAGAAAAAAATATAGTACAGGTCATAGGTAAAATTATTCTATATTTTTTTTTTTATATTTTATATGGACTTCTATATTATGAAGGAACTTGTTCTGCACTTTAACGGTGACATGAAAATTCGGGTAGGTAGGGAGGCTGGAAACACTATATTTTTCCTAACGAAATAATAATAAATGGTATGAGTAAAAACTCGATATGAAACCAAGTGCAACTTTTTATCAAAATATGAAAATAAACTTTTGCAAGTGAAAGATGTAAAATAGTAATGTTTTTTTTTTTTTTATTTCAGATCAAAAATCGTTATATTTACCATAAAAAATAATAATAAAAAAGAATACATGTATTATTGAAAATATAGTGAAAAATTCTTTCACTTTGCCAGATTAATTTACACTCTAGTTTCAACTTTGTGTATTAAATTACTAAATTTATAAAGCAACTAGAATTTATTAAACTATGTCACTGTCGAATCATTGACTACCATGGACGTGTGTCGAATCAGCGGTAGTAAATCAGGCCTTTCGTTCATTGATTATACTGAATGTTTCCCTTTTACCGACTATGAAAATGAACTGTACTCGAAATTTATATTATAAATGCAATTTTGTTTAAGACAAAAAATTCTGTTCTGTCCATTACTTTTGGAACACGAAATTTATTTTCTCAGTTGGCAATATAAAATAAGATAATTCTTCAACCAATACTTATCCAGTCTGAAAAAGGATCAATCAAAAGAGTGGGTACATTAAATCAAATTGTTTAAATTGTTTTCGATTTTTTTATAAGTTCGATATCTGGATTTACCTGCATTTGGAATGCTCAAAGCCAACATCAAAATGATAGGAAAGTATAGACATAAATCATGTGTCTCAGTAGGACAGTAATTATATCATAATCAAGGAACTCAGAACAGTCAGTTGCAACTTTAAGACAACGAAGAAAAGGGTAATTCTAAAATGTTAAAAATTTTAGATAGATATTGTCCTTTCGTCGGGGCTTGTACGGGCATAAACTGGCATAAGCCAAAAATGTACATGGGGGCACATTTATTTCCAACTTCTCTCAGATGTCGACCACATTGCCATATTTCTAAACACTTGAAAATGAAACTATAGTATGAATCAGAGCATAATATTGTTCAATCAACTATAATATGTCGACGAAGTACTTAAATGGCCATGAGCATTGCCAAATTCGTGAAGAAGCTCCTAGGCCTGCGGGATGATTCATGAATAACTTTACTTTTATTTCAAGTTTTTCAATTTATAACTAACAATGGTTTCAAAGATTCTGTCTTATGGTTATTGTAAGGATACATCTCTCAAACAAGGTCTTATAAATTCACAGGTAAGTTAAAATTGGATTAATTCCATAAATTATAGAGAAAACGCGGACTGAAAGCCTCAACCCACTTTTTTTTGGGCAGTTTAAGTAAATAAATTTTCCAATTACATCACTTCTAGACTAACTATGTGAACCCATCTGTCAGTGGAGAGGTATCATACATATTTCATTTTGAAGATGTACTGTTGCAAGGAAACATCTTGAGGGGTCACTTTTTGACAATCTAATTAAAATATAGATCTCTGATTTCGTTATCCTCTTATATACGAGCACGCGAGTTAATATTATAGATCAGAATTTTAATCAGATTGACTTTTTGAAATCACTTGTCTTCCAAGTCTAAGTTGTATCCACACACGTACATGCGTAGTATTTTCCCCTAGCCCTAAAACGCCTTTCATAAATATATATAGTTTTTCTAGTATTGCTATGAAAATAATACCATTGTCAAAATGATGCTTTAAAACAGTTGGAAAAATATTGAAGCAAATTATGCCAAATAGTTTTCGCTTCGCTGCGCATGAAAGCAATTTGTTGGGTGCAATTGAGGCCTTTCTAAACCATGCATAAAACTTATGAAAATATTATATCGCTATCAAAAATGAAAAAGTTTATTCGTAGTTTAGCTGATTTGTCCTTACTTCAAGTGCATCACCAAACTAAAATTCCGTTTCTCTTGTCTTTCTAAACTGTGTCAGCCCTTTTGTCGGATTTTGGCTTATTTTTGTCTTTTCATTATTTGACAATTACCTGAGGTGTTTACCAAGAATTGTGTGTAAATATACCAACAGACAAAAGAATAACATCTGTTCTTTTTTAGAAAATCGAAAATCCTTTTGTGACTTGTGTCGATCTGTTATTAGGTAAACAAATTATACATTTCTCGCTGAATCCAGTAACGAACATATTTAATGTAAGAAATTGAATAAATATCGACAATTTAGCGACGAACATCGATTTTTCTACTCTTATGAGAATAAATAATGCAAGTTCTATTTTCTTTGGCTACTGAATGAACTGTAATGAAGCGGCACGTGCCATTGTAGTTACGATTGCTCTGATTGGTTAGAATATGACAGCTGGAGGTGGCGATAATTCGATGCAAATATTTACTCGGGGGTCACAATCTGTTGTTCTACCGTTACACGGAGCACAAACGTTGGAATATAACAGCTTTGTGTGTAGCAGTTTACGTTTTTCTTTTGTTTGGTTCAATTTTAAGTTTATTTTTTACTTGTTTGTGACAGTTTTTATCTCAAATGCAGGTAAGCATCAAAAGATATATTTAGATTTATAGTAGACTATTTCTAGTAATTATTGATCGCATTTTTAGTTTTCTCAATTAAAATATTTGGTATGCATATTGATTTTTTTCTTCCATTTTAAGATTCTGAAATTAGAAGAACCATCAACGACAAGAACAAAGACGACCAACATGATTTCCTTCAATATGATGACTCTACAGCAGCAACAGAAAATTGTAAGAACACGTTATTTATTAAATAAAGTAGACTAGCATATATACCGATGTGTGTATTTTTATAAATTTACAATACATGTACTGAATGAACTGATTTATTATTTTAACTGTATAAATATAAAATAGTTTGTTAGGTTATAATTTTAAAGTTAATTAGAAGTTCACGAAGGCCATAATAGTAAATTATTTAATGTTAAATTGTGCATCAATGGGATGTATCAAATCAATTGATCCATTTAATAGAGGGAAATTATTTAAGAATTTTGGTGGTCAGTTATTGATAATTTAAATCATATTTGATTAGCACCAATCAGTTATTACATCTGGTCATTATTGTAAGCAAGTATAGGCTAGGACATATGTCCTATGTAAACCAGACTTAATTGCTATTTTATGTGTGATTCTACAAGAGAAATACATATGTTCATACATTTTATGTCAGTTATAATTGTTATTCTTCATCATCAACACATTCAGTAATTCGGCTTGTGTATATGACGGTTTATGACCAAGTTCATTTTGGTGATGAGAATAAAGATATATATATATAGTGATGAGAATAGGGTAATTGGAATTTCTCAGTAATTAGTTCATACACTGGGATAATTATGAGTCATGTTTGAATAATAATTTAATTTTTGTTATGTATTAGATCATAAGAAATTAAGACATATCTGGGACTGTTAATACTATAATTATCCCAGGACATATTAATGTTTTGGTCATGTTGGTTATTCTGAAAAAAAGAGTAGTTACTTATAATTTTAATCCACAGATAGGGATGTCTTTATAGCATGAGAAAGACGGGGCTCACAATGAATGAATTTCCTATATGGGGATCATATGCAGATATGCTCCTCTAAAGAAGCATGTATATGTGGACATAGATTTCGTTTAATTTACATTGCAGTGGTGGATCCGGGGGGGGGGGGGGGGGGGGTTCCTGGGGTTAGAACCCCCTGTTTATTTTTTTTGATGATCAATGCTTTTGAATGGGGACATATGGTTGGAACCCCCCTTTTAAAAATGTCTGGATCAGCCCCTGCATTGAAGTTTAGTACAAATTTGTTATACTCTCTCTGTTTTCACTTGGGGATAATTCCAATTTGGATTAGAAATTCAGAGCCATTTTTCTCATTAGGTTATTTGGTGTAAGAAAATAAACACTATGAACTCTGGATCAAATTAAGGATTCCTCTATTAATTCAGATGTTTGTCTGGTGTACAGTGCCCTTTCTATTGTAAAAAGTGTCCTCTGTGTAACTGTCTTTCAGTTGCAGTGTCATCTGGTTAAAGTGCCTTCATATTGCTTTGTCTTCAAACATAAAAGCACATTTCACTGAGGATACAGCATACATAAATCATACTTCAAAACTTAAGCGAAAGAAAGTGGGTGAGATAGATGAGGAAAAGGTAAATTTTGGATGTAAAACATTTGTAAATTTGTAAGGTCTCCCTTTCTATACCTTCAATGAGCCATCCATTACAATTTTTTATTAATTGATAAAATTTAAAAAATGAATATGATTGATGTTTGTGTGCTTTAATGGTGATTTCCCAATTCATGTTGAATAAATAATATACTGGTATATGATTGCATTTGCAAGTTTTAAACAAGAGGCATCAGAATATATGAATGCATTGTCAGCATAGTGCATATTTATATGCATTCCTCAATAACAACGGTTATAAAGTGTGAGATATTAGAAAATCAAGAGAAAGAATGTTTTCAAACATGAAATAAACATCTGCCAAATCATATCATGCTGATCGGATGCTAGAATTCTCTATCTCTATAGAAACATAATATCATTTCCACATTTCCTTGATTTTTAGGGAAGATATTTTCGAAAATAGATAGATATGAATTAATGTTATCTTGTGTAAACTTAAAGGTTTTAGGTGGGGCTTTCCAATTACAGCTCTATTATATTGATCTACCAGGGTACCAATAGATTTTTTGAAGATTTGAAAGATAAATTTTATACATCAATTCAGACACATATTTTTGAAACTTCAATGCAGACACATAATTTCTTCATCTCCAGGGAAATTGTTTTCGATGCCCACTAGTAAATAAATGTTTTACATACATGTATACCAGTGATCATTATTATGATTTAAGACATTCTGGGAGTCTCACTCTTTTATAAAAGCAGGAGAAACATGGTAAAGCTTAATAAACTACAAGGCAGCTAGTCACCAGTGATTCTCGTAATCTTAACTCATAATCTGATCACATTGAAAATATTTTGGGGAATCCTTTGTTTGCTTGATTTTTTTTCTTTGGAAGACTTGAGCTATAAGACTTCTATTAAACTGCTAATATTTTGTACCTAGATCCAAAGACGAGACTTTCCTTAACTACACTCATTTGATCTTAATTTTTGGCCAAGTACAGTTCAAGTTCCCCTATATTTTATACAGTCTATATAAAATAGGTTTGAGAAATAAAACTCTTTTACCTCTACCTAACCTACTATTTATAAAGTAAATTTTACCCTAAATAGACACATTTCTCCCCATGTTTTATAATTCAATTATATATTTGTTATTATGATGAAACATGCTATATGCTATATATTTCGTAATACTCCATCAATAGAAACTCTTAGTATTATTATAACATAACCAGAATTTAGAAATATAATCACTAAAACATGCTATATACATTCCTTTATACTCCATCAATAAATAGTCTAACATAACCAGAATTTAGAAATATAATGACTTTTCAGTAGGGCTTTCATGTTTTACATTAACAATCTCCAGGGCAATGACAGAACTATGTAATGGTAACTGAATGTACATAAGGCAACAAGGTGAAATAAGAGGAGATTACTCATTCATTGAATATCAAAAAATTCAAATTTGGTTTGAATATTTCTATATTGTTTGCCTTTATAAATCTCTTATAAATTAAGGCCTTATTTTTGAAGAAATGAAACATTTTGAAGGTTCCCCAATTGATTTAACACTATGTTTGCCATGTGGAATCCTTCTGTCTTGGTTGTTATGTAACTAGTTTGCCCTGGTAATTGGCTGTACTAGATGTATTATATTATTATATTTTTGCTCTGTGATTTGAAAAAGATACAGACATAATGAGATACACAGTTTTTGCCAAATACTGAAATAAGTATAGACAATCATTAGACATGCCAGATTGTTTCTAAGAACTGTTTTGACCCAATCAAACCCCTTATCTAAATATGATACTTATGTTTTGGTATAATCAGTCATCACTTCTTGACCATCTGTATATATATTTGTTACACAGTTGATAAGTGTTATCATTACTGTAGAATATAGCTGATAATCATCTGATACCACACTGTCTGTGATAATGTACATTAATGATGAGGAGGCCTCAAGTGGAATCTTCCTATAATTTCATGTTAAAAAAATTTACAAGAAATCTTGGTTAATTTGTAAAGCATGGTTGTGTAATTACAGAATAGTTGAGCATACTTTACTTTTTTTCCTTAGAAACATGGTATTCTGTACATTATTTTAGATGCAGGGGATAATTACTAACTGCCAGAATAATGCATTTAAATATTTACTCTCAGACACAACTTTAGGTTAATTAGCAATAGTGTAAAGAGAATTTACAAAACTATAAGTAAATACAATTGAAGGTGTAAAAAATAACTGTTGATTAATACTGGAAAATTTTTTGCGCTGTCTTATTTCTCCGGAAGTAGTATTAATTTTATATTTTGTGTTTTCATTTAAAAAGGTGTCTATTTCGTAACAAAACTTCTTGAAAAAATTAAACTAATAAATATGTCCCGTTAACAGTATTTAAAGGGATGTGTTTGTGAAAAGGAAATGACAAAAAAAAAAGGAGATATATTAAATTATGATAATAATAATACATAAACAACTTTCTTGGTAAATATTTATGTTTGTGATTGCTTCTAGAAATACAAATATAGGAAAACCCATTAAAACTTGGAGAAATAATTTTTTATCCTGATGTCTGATATGCCATTGACATTTACCTATTTTATTTAGGAATTGGGCTTTGAATTTTTCATTATTGGTAATATATGGAAATGTTTTTTTGTATGCAGTTGTAAATTGATAGTAACATACTAAGTTTTTATTTTTCTTGTTTACCTTATTTAATTCAGCAGTTAATCTGGATGTTTCATTTTTCTAACAATGTCCATAAACTTTTTTGAAAAGTCCTGGAAAGTGCATAGAAACTACATATATTTACACATAGTCTACTGCTGAATTGATTTATTGACTGATGGAAGATTCTTGTGTCTTGCAGTCAATAATACACCCATGATGTCAAGTAGCAATGAATGAATTACAAAAACTAAGGCAATGGGCGATGGGCATTTAGGTTTTAGCACCTCTTATAATGGTGTGAAAGTGATAATGGTACAAACATGTCAGTTAAGTGCTTTATGGTGTTACAGATAACAGGATTATCTTCTATCTTATGGCTCTCCAACAGACTTTATCCAATACATGTTATTTGAGGAATGATCTTCTATCATATGGCTACAGACTTTATCTGCATACCCGTTATTTCAGAAATGCATGTATTATGTAATGACTGTCTGTCAGTATACTTTCATTTCCATATTATAAACAATCTTTACTAGATTCAGATTCAATATTTTATTTTTTTACTATCAGGTATCAAAGAAATTTGCCAAAATGCTTCCAAAGTACAATTGCATGTTAGCTTTAATATAAAAAAGCCAAGGTTTTGTAAAAAAAGATTCAGTTGAATCCTCTTTGGTATGACATGTAGTATAACACCTCACTCTTTACACTCATGTGAGACAATTGGTATGACATGTAGTATAACACCTCACTCTTTACACTCATGTGAGACAATTGGTATGACATGTAGTATAACACCTCACTCTTTACACTCATGTGAGACAATTGGTATGACATGTAGTATAACACCTCACTCTTTACACTCATGTGAGACAATTGGTACGACATGTAGTATAACACCCCACTCTTTACACTCATGTGAGACAATTGGTATGACATGTAGTATAACACCTCACTCTTTACACTCATGTGAGACAATTTAAAAGTAAAACTGATCATTAACCTTTTGATTATTCACACCGATTGTATCATCTGCAACTCCCTCTAAACAAGGAATGCATATCAATGAGACATTGTGAGTTTCAAAGAATCTTCAGTATCTAATGGCATTGTACACCTTAAATTTGATCCAAATTATATTTTGGGGTTTCCAATAGCAACATGGATTTTGACATCAATATGAAAGGGGAATGGGCTGTTAGTTTGTGTGTGCTGCTTTTTATTTATTTTTAAGTATTTTGTTTTCAAGCTTATTACTACTACTGAATTTAAGAAGGATATCTTTTATATGGTCTTTGTTAATAGGTAGTTTGCAAACAGGAATATATGTAGTCTGGAATTGAAAGAATTCATACAGTCATTGACTTCACTTTTTTACATGTGTGTTTCTCATACATGTACATATTGTCAGCATGACTGTATTTTTCCTTCCCTTTTTTTTAGAACCTAGTTCAAATCATAAAAATTGTAAATCAATTATAAGCGGAGTGTATTCATGTAACATATATTTACAGATGGAACATGCTATTCCCCTTGTGCAGCCACCTCAGACACAAAATGGAACCACATCACCAGCATCAATTGAATCACAGGGAGATGAGAACTGTAGCAAGACAAACCTCATAGTCAATTACTTACCACAAACCATGACTCAAGAAGAGATCAGGGCATTGTTCTCTAGTATAGGAGAGGTGGAGAGTTGTAAACTTATCCGTGACAAACCAACTGGTAAGTTAATTACAATTTATCTGTTTTATTACCTGCTGAATGTAAAGCATTTAACTTCCAACAGTCAATCAACACAATTTATACTTCTGAGGAGCAGTTATTTCTTATTATACACATTTTTTAGTGTTAAAATGTTCTTTCAAGTTTTAGACTTTTATATTTTATTTTGAAAGCATTCTGTTTTTACTTTATAATTTTGTAAATGATCTGATTCATTTTTGATAGATAATAAGTATTCATGTAAAACCTTAGTTTTTTGATATACCTACAGTGGACAGACAGCCTTAGGATTCATTGGACATCTTAAGAAAATAACAAATCTTGGCATATTTTTACAGACTTAGTTAATATTGTCTTACTAACTTCTAAGACATTTTCAAAAGAACATTTACTGTTTTTAAACTGCTTTAAACTGCAACATGTGCATTTAATTTTTGCAATTTTCAATTATTGATAAAAGTAAAATATTATATTTGAATTGTTATTTTTTTACAGAAAAAAACCTTTTGGAAGCTCCCTGTACACATACATGTAAGGAACCATAAAATATTCATTTTGAAAATATACACACTTTATTGGTGTGCAGTGCTCCAAGTCTTTAAGCATATAAAACATATGTAATTTTAAGAATTGAATACTCATTTTTTTGCGGTTTTATAGAGTGGTGAAAGCATTTTTAGTGCACACACATACAAAAGGTGCTTCTGTCAACAGCAATAAAACTACAAATAGAGGCAATTAATTCTTAAAAGCATTTCATGAAATGAGATTAAAGAACAGTAAATGTTCATTATGAGCAACAAAAATAAAGTGACAAATACCAAGTAATGACAGACTATGCCATATAAGGAATTGTTATTTTCTTTTTTCCTCTTCCCTGCTTTGTTTTACTTTTCTTATGTATACTGACTTTATTGTTCTACAATTTCAGGGGACGTTAAATCTTTGATTTCAGGTCAAAGTCTGGGCTATGGATTTGTTAATTACAAGTTAGCTAGGGATGCAGAGAAGGCCATTCACACACTCAATGGTCTGAGACTTCAGAATAAAACCATTAAGGTAGGGGGATGATGGTTTGAATGATTACCTACTAACACCTTCGGCATATTCAGTTTTTTTTTCTCAAAGTTCTATCAAATATTTACTTTTTATCTTCATTTCTTCATTTTATGCAGAGGTAGACGATTAGTAAATCACTGCTTTAGATAAAATTTTGAAAAAGTTTTCATAGTTTTAGCCAACAATCATTCTGAATTTGCCTGCCTTTAGAGTTGGGGTTTTAGCCTGAACTATTATAGAAGCTTTATGCATACATAGTAAAACCTTTGTTTGGTATTTTGAACTTCATTCAGCAATCTGACAGTAGAAACAAGATTGAGCAGAGGTTTATTTATAGGAAGAACCATTCAGTATTTTTTTTAAAATTTTGAAATCCTGTAAAAACTTGATACAATTATGACTCAGAATACTTTACTATCCTTGAATCATTGAATTGCATTATTTTCTGTTCAGTCACAAAGTTATATTACATATCTCAATCGTTACTGAAACATGTTACAAGATATTTCATCACATTAATAAGAAAAATAACAAAGTAATGTACACCATATGTTACACATGAAAGACAGCAAATCTATAGTTCTGAATTTCCCATATATTTTTTTTTGTGCTGTAAGGGTGACAGATGTGTCAAAAACAATGAGATGTAGAAAAAATCAATCACATGATAGATTCACCATAACTTATTGTTTAATTTAATCAAATTCAGCAAGTATCCATCTTAATGTTTTTAAACTTTTTTTTAGTGTACATTGAAGTTAATGTATTGATAAAACATTTAATACTAAGGAAAATTTTAACTTGTAAGTAATTGATTTAACTTTCAGGGAAAATCTTTCTTTTATTAAAGATGTATGTTTGTTTTATACTAAAGAAAATAATGAGAATAATAAAAGAGAATGGAAAGTAATGTATATGCTATCTTTATGATACTAAACGTAATCTTGAAGGCTATAAGAAAATGTAATCAAATAATGGAAATCTCCACCATTACAGTATCAATTGGAAGATATTATACTAAGCTCAGTCTTGTTTCTTGTTTCCATGGAGACGAATATTAATATTTTTTCTGTTGTTTTGTACAAATCTCGAGAGGTTCTCTAAATTATTATTTGTGTAGCATATAGATTGATCTGTAACTAATGACATATGTTCTTTAATATGTAATTAACTTACTATTGTCTGACAGTCATAAAATGTCTAATATTGTCTCCTTTTTATTGAATAGAAGTTTGGTGTGCTATTTTCTACTCCTTACTACATGTATAGTTTTATATCCAGAAATAGATTTAATGACAACAGTAGGAAATAATTTGTTTTTATGGTGAAAATAAAACCCATATGGTTCCATAACCCACAAGCAATCTTTGAACTGTCAGCAATTTTTATGAAATTTTTTATATCAAAGATAAAGTATGTGAGATCAAACAAGGAGAAAATTATTTTTTTTCAACTGCATGTTTATGATCTGACTGGTGTATGCATTAAATCAGTATTTACTAATGAACTGCAGCCTGAATATGATATCTCTACCATTCTCTAATTAGTGGTATATAGTCCAATTCCTGCATTAAATTGTGTGCAAATTGGCTTGATGCATAATGACTTAATTGTATGATGTAATATCACAGTGGAATAACAGAGTGCACCAATCGAACAGACCAGATTCCCATCTTCCTAATTTTTATTCTGGCTTTATTTTCATTTCTTTAATTATATTTTTATTTTGGTTTATGATTTTCTTTTTTAGTTTATTTTATTATTGTGGTATATTATAAATGATTTGAGCAGTATTAAATTAGACACACTTACATATCTTAGAACAGCAATTACACAGCAGAATTTAGTTCTAGAAACCTTAGTTTCTCACTGGTTTGCACCTTTTTTTTTCTGTTTGGGGGATGATCTGTTGATCAAGTATATCAAAACAACGAATGTATTTCATGTACTGGATATTCTAAAAACTTAAAGTATGCTTACATAAAGACTTTTCCCTATCAATCAAGGCTTATGTATTAGTGCAGACTAAATCTTTGAATGTACAAGAAGACGGCTGATTAATACAGGGGAAAGATTCATTCTAGATAATGATTATTTCCATTGGGAATATGTCCTCATCAAAACCCTTTGTATTCACATAAATTTTTTTTATAGGAGTATCTGATGATATCTAAAAATACTAGTTTGAAAATGCACATCATATATAAAACAACAAAATCTAAGAATTTACATGAAAATAATGACATAAGATTTTACTAGGTGCTTTTTTCAATAGCACTTTGATAACTTAAATAAAATTTTGTTTCCTTTAAGAGCAATGATGATGATAATGCTTTATTTAAAAAGAAATAAGAATGATTGGAAGGTATCAGTTGCTTGATTAGTTCATTGCACTGTTAAAGTTATGAATTTAGATCAGCCTTTTTGTTCTACAGCTGTGAGTGATATTGCTTTGTTTGTATAGAATATAAATGTCTCAAGAGTACCGATAGGTTCAGCTGTAAATCCTTGATGAAAATTCCATCTAACCAGTCATAGGGATATTTGTAGTCGAACAGTAAAACAGATTTTAAACTTTGAAATTCAGAGTTGTCATGGATAGTTTTTTTAGGGGGCTCTAACATGTCTTACAATATGTCTTATTTCATTACTTCAGATACTTTGAATGATGCAGAAAGTAATAAAAAAGGCTGAAATCTTGGAAAGGGCCTTCTTCATAAAAATCACATAATAGCTTGAAATTATGTGCTTTGTTCATACCACAATAGAGGGATTTTTTTATCTGTTTTTAAAGTTCAGGTTAGATATGCAATAGCACTGTTTTTCCATAATGGCCATATATTTTGTAAGTCTGTAAAGATACTAGTAAAATAAAACCAAGGAGACAAGTTGATTGCTTTTCCTTTAAATAGATAAGGCAAACTATAATAATTTAGCAGTAAAACAGTATAGGATAATTGATTTTGGAGTGGAAATCAGAATGATGTCTTTGGATCATGAATTGCATTGAATAGCATTGACTTTATTTTAATTAAAGCAAGCTGACTGAACTGTACCATTTAAGTTCGATAATTATCAAAACTGAAGTCTTGAAATTGTTATATGTAGATGACATGAAAGCACGTAATCCAAAAGAATTATTCTGAGTTGTGCATATGTTTTACAAATTACCTTTCATCCTTCTTAAATCCATTACTCCACTTTTGGTTTTACCTAAATATAAGCTAATTTAGCCAAAGTGAGGAGTTACAGATTCAAATATATGTTTTCCTATCTACCTTCTTTTGTATTGTCTCCCTTGTTTTTATGACATAAGGGAAATTTGTTTTTGTTTGTTTGCTTCTTTTTCTTTCTTTTTTTTGGGGAAGGGGAGGAGGAGACTTTCAGTGTTAAGCTGTATGACTTACAAATCTTGTTCCAGTGCTTTTTGGTGAACTTCAGAAACTAAGATGTGTTGTAAGAGCAGTAGTTTTTCAAAGTGGAGAATATAAAGTTTTACTCTGGATAACAGCTGTGGGCATATTTAATTGTTTGCAGGCAAGGGCAGTCATGACATATGTACACATTTAGTTATTATATAACTGGGAGTCACAATTAGTTTTTTGATAGTACATTTTCAGTAAAATCTTGGTGGTAGGTTTTGTAATACATTCATGGGAGAGCAACTTACATCCTGCATGTATTGATTATACAGAAAGGAAGAAAAAAGCAGATCAGATGATCTTAATTAACTGTGCTGTTGTCTCTGGAGACAGGATCCCATCTATTGATCCATCCTTGTCCAACTTTACTACAACTTAATGGAGGACAGCAGCTTGAATATTTATTGGATTTTGCCTTGTTTATCCTCTAATTGTATTTAGTTCTATGTTTGCCTTTGTTTTACATCAGTATTTTCAATTCTTTTTTCTTTTTCAGTTGCTGTTTTTTCCACGTTCATGTTTTGTTTATTATTTTCAGGTTTCTGTAGCCCGACCCAGCTGTGAAAGTATTAAAGGGGCTAACCTGTATATATCAGGCCTACCCAAGTCCTTGACACAGTTGGACTTGGAGCAAATGTTCTCCGATTGTGGTGAAATCATTACATCAAGAATACTATATGACCAAAATACAGGTACAGAAAAAATGAGGGTTGCACAGAAAAAAGGGTCCAAAGAGTTTCAGAGGGAGGGAATTAGTCTACTAGGTTTAATTTGTATGATTTTAATTTGATTTTGATTTTTATTCATTCTTCGTCCTGTTTTTACTTAGGTTTCCCTCGCACGACCAAGTAGCGAGAGTATTAAGGGTGCTAACCTTTATATTTGCAACCTGCCAAAGAATATGACCCAGAATGAATTGGAACTGTATTTTTCCCAGTGTGGGAGAATCATAACTTCTCGAATTCTTTACGATAATACAACAGGTCAGACTCGTGTCACGTTTTGGCAATGTTGTTATTTGATGCTTGCATGTAAACGTTTATTGTGACAAATTGCGAGGGCTGTTTATTTTTCTTATTACTGTTTAATCAATTATTATGATTCTCTTTAAATGTTACTTTTAATTGTTGAATTTAAATTGTTATTTTATCTATATTTATGTTTTTTTTATTTCCCTTTCTTCAGAGTTTTAGTTGATTAACAATATTGTTTGGCTTACAAGTTTGCCTCATATCATCTCAATTTTTATACCATATCCATTAGCATGCTCAGTTCCATCATACTTACATGTGATTCACTAATCAAAAATCTTTTCAGACATTTGCCACTTATAATTCTTATTATTATCAGGTTTTGAGGATTAATGAAAGAGAAATTGTTTGATGGGTATTTGAAAGTATAATAATTCTGTTAAATGTTCAATCTGTTTCTTTGAAATATTTGGCTGCTGTTTATGATGTGAAATTTAAAGAAAGAGAGAAAAATAAATTAAAAACCAACTATTAAATCAAACTTTGAACAGTCTTTGCAAAAAGTCAAAACATTCAAAAACAGAAAAATCATAAAAGACATAAATGGATACAATCCATCCATGACTGAAATGAAATATTTCTATTTGCTTCCAGATGGTGAATTGCAAGAACATTTCCAATTTCCAATATTTAATTCCTCCATCCCAGTTTTATCTGTCTTGTCTTTAAATATGTTTTTATTCAAACACTTTGTCTTTTAGAGCATGCAATAAAATCAATGCTTTTATTACAACAAAGAAAAGACATTAAGAGGCATACATCCATTGCAGTTTTAATGATTTAATCATTGAAATACAGACAACTAAAACCACAAAAGGTTTTTTTTTTATAATTTTGTTCATATCTGAAGCAAGCTGAAAGGCCATAAAATTTACCAATATCATCATGTACCATGCAAAAATTTCTTAGCTGTAACCCAGGTTTTGAATCAATACTCCCAACCCACTATATCCACACAAATCAATTTTTCATTGATTTTTGTCTTTGAGTAACTAATGATATTATTTGCTTTAAATGTAATGCACGGCAGCCTGATCACGTTATTCAAATTCTCTTCTCTTCATTATAAACTATTGATAAGACCAAACAAGCTTTTATCTTTGTATTTCAATAAAATAGATTTTCATTTAAAATTGATATTCCCTGGTAATGACGTTTGTTTTGTAATTTGCAAATAAGCTATCAATATTTGTTTTAGATGGTTGGATACAATTGAATACGTCTATGTAATAGGATATCATTATTAAATTGAGATTAAATTTTTTTCACCAGTGTCATCCCATTGCTACAATCTTACTTAAAATAATACCATAATATAGCAGTAATTGGAAATTAATGAAAAAGTATGATGCATTCAGTTCTGCAGAAAAATTTGTGAGTGGAATAAAATTTGTGTTTTGTATCTAGTTCTGTAATATATATATATATATTCGGTTAACTAAATGGACTTCATGAGTAGATCATTTATATTATAAGTAAAAAGAATTTCATTAAAATCTCACCCAAGGTCTTGCAGGTAAAGAGTCTAATTATTTTCAATATTGAAGGTAAATAAATATGTGATTATTTTTCATATAGATCGATCTATGATATAGAAACGGTTTCTCATCAATCTTCTTGAAATATAGATCCTGTGTTCATGCTTCTCTTGCAGGGATCTGAAAATGCTCCGTTCTACTTTCTGTTTGAAAGACCTTTCAGGACTCTCTGGTTTTGTCGTAATGATACACACCTTCAAAAATTAGATTTGAAGGCTGAAATTTCATAGGTAGATGTAATAATGACCAGAACAGAAAGTAGAAAGGACTTCAAAGGAGTGTGAACACAGGTTCTGTATTTTAACCAGCTTGTATTATTCATTTACACATCTGAAAGTAAAATAAATAAATCTTCTATCCCCATACTTCAAAAAAATATCACAAGATAGGATCTGATTATTGTAGTTTAGTGAAAAATATTTTTAAAGATATGGTTAATTATGGTATAAAGATTGCTGTTTTGCAACACATACTTGCACAAGCATGGTAGTTGAATTTAATAGAGCAATTCAATTTTTCATGGCTTATTAAATAAACTGAATCGTGCATTAATGAATCATTAACCTTCCAAAGTAAGTTAAAATCACTGAAGGAAGTGCAAGCTTTAACTTGGTTTAACAAATATACTTTGTTAACAGGTTTGTCAAAAGGTGTAGGATTTATACGATTTGACCAGAGGATTGAGGCAGAGAGAGCCATCCAGAAGTTAAATGGAACCATTCCTGAAGCAGCAACGGAACCCATTACTGTGAAGTTTGCCAATTCCCCAAGCTCCAATAAGAATGCTGTTTTAGCTCCACTGACATTAGCTCCATACCTTCCTCAGACTAGAAGACTTCTTGGTCCCATACACCATCCATCAAGCAGGTTCAGGTAAGCATTTTATTTTGCACATCTACCTTAAAAGACATTAACAGTTTAGAAGCAGACAGTGAGATTGGGATTAGCAAGGTTTCTCTAGCCAATGGCTCAAACATTTAGGCTTCAATACAGATGACAAAGTGTAGGTCAAGTTTGATATTGACGATTTTCACATTTGTCGTTCATGAGTTATAGTAATTCATTGCTGCAACAATGACACTAATAAATGTAATATTTAGTAATAATCTTTAATATAAACCTGGTTTGCTGTCATTTTAACAGCTTCTTGGTTTATTTTTAGAACAGTTATCCCAATTCTGTTTGTTAGTATTTAATCATTTTGTACTGCTTGACAGATGCAGCAAAATTCTAGACTAAAAAATTGTGAATGCATCAACATGATGTATTAATTGTTTGAAAAAACATTTAATGCAAATTTGCAATTGAAATGTATTCGTCATATATTTATTATGATGCAGTATAAATAATTTCACATGGAAACATTTAAGTGACTTGTGGGATCTGTAATCAACACTTGAACAATATGATCATTGTTGCCTTCATTAAGTAAACAACAAAATGGAATATAACTCAGACGATATTTATTCAAAACATAGTTATTAGCTTTCTGCAAGTTTAATTGCATCCAATTTTAGTCAGTTTATTTTTAAACAGTGAAAATAGTAATTGCAATTAAAAAGAAAAAAAATGCAGTTTATTTGAATTGTCTAGACATGGAAAAGAAGGGCTATGGTAAATTAATTCATGACATAAAATCCCTCAAAACAATTGAAAAAACCCAAAGCAAAGGAACAGTTGTTGTTTTGCATCACAAAGTCACAATTAGCCTTTAGCATGGAGCAAAAACAAAGTCACAATGAGCATCTAGCATGGAACAAAAACAAAGTCACAATGAGCCTTTAGCATAGAGCAAAAACAAAGTCACAATGAGCATTTAGCATGGAACAAAAATCAGTGCTTTGAATATCTTGACAGTTGTTAATTTCATTCTTTAATTGATAAGGAGAAATGACTGAAGAAGACCATTTTCTTTATTGTGTTAGATGGAAATTAATGTACTTTATTTACTGTTCATATATACATTTGATCTGTCATCAAAATAAAAAGCATGGAATGATTAGAACTAAAGTATATTTTGTGACTTAATGGATATATCGTATAGGAACTTTTATTCCATTACACTCAAACCAGGATAATATTATTGATATGAGTAAATTTAACAGAAAATGTGAATTGTTCATTTAAGAAATCAGATTAAAAGTACTTGTTTATTTCAGGTTTTCTCCTATGGACACAGGATCTATTTTAGGAGCCAACACAATCATTCCCACAGCAGCCACAGCCACAACTGGTAACACTATAAATGGAGCAGGATGGTGTTTGTTTGTATACAACTTGGCGCCAGAAACTGAAGACAGCACATTATGGCAGTTGTTTGGTCCTTTTGGAGCAGTACAGAATGTTAAAGTGATTCGCGACTTCCAAACACAGAAATGTAAAGGATTTGGATTTGTTACCATGACAAACTATGATGAAGCATTAGTAGCTATCCAGAGTTTAAATGGCTTTGCTTTGGGAAATCGTGTTCTTCAGGTGTCGTTCAAAACCAACAAATGTAAAATGTAAGGATGATGGAAGAAAATAGTGCTATATTACTCAGTCATTCCGGACAGGATTAGATTGAGGAGTTTGATCTAGTCATATTTATATTCTCCACAAAATAGTGCATAAATATTATTAACAATCATGAGAAATTTTCCAGTTCACTTCTGAAGTTGCCAAACAGTTTTTTTTTTTTTTGCTCCTGGTATTAAGACTAGGACCAATAGTTGCCATCACTTTGAATCCATCGTTCTGTGTATCCTTTTATAGTAATTTGATTATGATGTTAATGAATTAAATTCACATTTGGAATGAAATCTAAAGAATTTTCTTTATAAGGAAATTATTTTACGATGTTAGCTATTAATTGGTGAGTGATAGTGTAACAACTAGATCACATTGGCCTTGTATAACAATTTATAAAAAAAAATAATTTTTCTTTAATTTTGACTTTTATTTATTTGAATCTCTTGAGAAGTACTCATTTAATGTTTTAAGTTTACATGGATCAGTGAAATCCAGCATTGAACATTTTTATCCTGGTTTTATGTTTTACCTTCAGTAAGAAGGGTTTAATTTGGAGTAGCATAGATATTTTTACAGAAAAAAAAACACAATTAATTGTATAAATTTTTAATTCTTGAAACAAAGCGGAAATTATGATTTTATGGTAATAAATAGTGTTGGTTTTTTTTTAATCAATTATTATCAAGTACTGTCCGATTTTTAGTTAAGTGTATTTCATTCTTAAATTTTGAAAATTCTGAATTTAGCCAGATTTATAATATTGAGAATTGTGAGGACAATGATACTAAAGGCAACTGTTAGTGTGATTTTATATCTACTTTTAAAACCAATTTTCCACCATTTTAGATGATTTGTTTATACATTATTCATATGGATTTTTATCCCGTATATAACTCAAAGAATCTCAGAATTTGTTATTATTTTTTCAAATGCACATGGAGAGCTCAGAGAACAAATAAATGCCTCGAGACATGACATAATCCAAGTATATTATTATTTATTTATTGACAAAACCATGGATGTTGATATTATTTAATACTTATTAAGTTATATAATTGATTATTAAGATTTCATTTTTGTTGTTATCCCATAAATTGGTGTTCTGTGGTGAAGTAATTTTTTCAGATATTATTTATTGTTTGTCGGTTGTTTACTTTTCATTAGGTATAGAATTGGGCCCTAGGTCCATTGTTTATTACAGTAATTTAGAATTATACGAATAGAAATATAAGATAAAAACTCATTTATTTTACATTCATAGAAACTGTTTTCAACAATTGACCAAATAGAGAAAAAAAATCTATTCAGTCAGGTATGAAAGATATAAAACAACATGTGTGTTTACTGTTTTTATTTATTTATGGTTAAAAGATTAAACTAATTTTTGAAATCAAGTTTATAACAGTAGAAAACAGTTTCTATATGTAAAATGAATATATCTGTGTCGAGCCTGAAATGGTTGGTGAATTTCTGTCTGTTGCATGAATATTTGCTTTAGTTTTCTCAATTATTGTTTTGCTCTTTGTTATATACACTGCTGCACACGAATGCTGTCTTAAATTTTCCACAAAAAAAGTTTGGTTCAGTATATATGTATTCTGTTTTTTTATTTTTCACCAAACACACATTGCCAATGATTGGTTAGAATCAGAATTAAATATAAATGGTAGTTTTTAATTGAAAATTAGTCTTGATAGATAGATTAAAGAAGAATGTTAACTTTTAAGATGTGTTTTTGGTGAATGGTTTTTGTTATTTAATTCAAGCAGTCATGACTTTTGATTTTGCATTTATTTATTTTGGGAGTGATGTTTTATCATTTCAATGAATATGTTTGCCAGAATTTTCAGTTCACTAGCACCTTAAACTGGGACTTATCAGGTCTCAGAATATGTTGGCACAATATTTTTCTTTTTCTTCGTCTTAGTTCTTTTTTTATTGATTTCTGTGAACCCTTTTTTCCAATTTACCATAGTTTCAGGAAGAGACATTGTTAGAAATCATTCAAAATCTGCTGACTTTTTTTCCATGGTTGAAATAGAGATTTGATAAAACCATGTATTGCATCAGATGCCAAATTGATCTTCCAGTTGTTGAAAAGGTATAAATTTTTGAACATTTTTAAATGTTGTGTTTAGGGTTCCATGTTTTACAATATCTGTATATGTTTGAAAGTTTTTAAAACAAGAAGTACCTGACATTTTTACATGTTTGATTTCTTTAATAAAAAGATTAACTTTTTATACAATCCATCTTATTTGATGTCTTTTGGGGCACTCATTATAAATGCTCATATTTTTGCAAATCATTAAAACATTCCTCAGGAAATCTTTCACAAAAAGTGTGTTTTTATTGTTATAACTCTTTGTGAAAGGTTCCTTTATATTGCCCCTTTTGATGTAAATATTCCTGTCACAGTTCGGGGCACTTTTCACAAAGAATTTTTAATATTTATGGTATAAATTTTGAATGGATTTATGGGAACAATTTACATCTCATCGATGTTTTAATCAAACATTACAGACATTGCCTGATTTAAGCTTGACAGGGACCCTGTGAGGGTTGACCATGTTCTTTGAAATATTTCTGTTTTGATTGAAGTATATTTTTGCCATTCTGGCAATTTTAAAAAAACTTCCACTTCTTAATTTATTCTTCATCAAGCAAAGATGAAATAAATATTTTATACTTAAGATATATATGCAATTTTTACCCATACAGTTCTGTATTTGTGAAAACTTATATGGCAATTTTACATTTTTATGTGATGTCGAATTCATATGAACTTGTTTAGAATCGCTTATTGTTAATGATAAAAGCAATATTTACATTTTTTACATTTTCATTGACCAATGATTTTTTTAGAAAGATAACTATGGGATGATAGGTCAGAAATTGTGTGCCAAGCACTAGTGTTAATGAGTTTATTTGTGGTCAGTTAGTGTTTGATCATCGAGATTGGGTAAACGTTTGAAATTTGTGCCTACTGCCAAATAAATGTCTACACGGAACGTGAAGAATCAATTGACAAAAGTTATGATTGTTTGAAAACAATTAACAAAACCCACCTATTATGTATTACACATGACGTGTGCACAACAGTAGAAAATTTTCGGTTTCATTACATATTTCTTTTCAGATTGTTATTAGCAATCTAATGTTAGAGTTTTTCAAACTTTTGTGAATTTTTTTATCTTTTTTGACTTTTTTCATTACTTGTTCCATTGTTTGTTGTTTTGTTTCATGTTGTAGCTGCTCTTTTGAAGGGCTTAACTTTATTTTTTGAAGTACAAATTTGCAAGGTAAGATGTTTTTCCCTTTTGATGCAGGTATTATTTCAATCTATTTTCTACATTAAATAGGGTATAATCTATAAGTTATAACACACACATATAATTTACATACAAGCAGTCATACATAGTCAGTTCTAGTATAAAAATTAAATATAATTCCAAATATAGATGGATAAATCCTAAAAGAAAATATCATTAAACGATATTCTGAATTCAAGCATTAGCTGATAAAAGAACCATGCAGTGGTTACTATTTAGTATAATTTCAAAGTGATTCATATATGCCTTCAAAAGAGCACCTTCATTTTTCTTCATTTTTCATATATCTAATTAGTGTTGTACATCATATGTGTTGTCAGGTTGATTCTAGTCTGGACATTATCCTTATCCTACCTCATATACTGTAACATACACAATTGTCTTCAACTGAGATTCTTGCTAAATAATTTACCTGCTAAGATCAGTGAATCATTTCAGGTTTGTTCTTTCGAATAACTGAATAAAGTTCCATATGCATTCTTTCAGAAAAATAAGGGGAAAAATAATGCTTGACTGTCTTTTCATTCTTCAGTTTGTCGGATGTCTAGCAGTAGTAAGAAAGAAAGATGTCTATTATCAGGGATCACTTTGAAGGCAGTGTACACAATAAAAATTCCAAAGGTCTTGCACATTTTTAGTTGTACTGGTCACATTGATCTAACCTGAACATAGAAATACCACGATAGAAACTTAATTGTCCTAAAGATGTAAGACAACTTCAGCTCTGCAGTCAATGATATCTTCTCAGTTTGAAGAAAGGGGGTTCTTATACAACATATATTCTAAGAAAATACATATCTGTAAAATATCTTCATAAATACTTGTGAACAAAATAGATAACCATTTTATAATACATATACTATGTCAAAACCATAATCTTTTATCTGTGATAACATGTTCCCTACCAAAACCATATTTATATTTACCAAAACCAGCAAGTCCCATGACAGTTTTATTGATCTCATATATGTCCATGCTCAAAACCATGTCTCAGATTGCAGTAGTGAGATTTGGTTTTTAATGAGATTTCAGAAGGAATAAGAAGTGAAGTGCATCAACACTTAACAGTTTAGTTTACAATATAAAAACAGCCATGATAATAACAATTTGGAGAGAAAAAAAACCCATAATAAATTTGTTTACAAGTAAAATGTTTGTGAAGAATTCTTATCCATATAGAAAAGCCAAAACTCACTACTCCCTTTGTAAAGAATGTATGTATATGTTCAAATATGTTATTTACAGAAAAATGCTCCAAGCATGTAAACAATGAAAACATGGAAGTCCTGGTTTTATGTTTTGTCTCAATGAATTACTACTCAAAATGTATACATGCTTTTCTAGTCAGGATTGATAATTTAAAGTGCAATAATATATACATTTTTATCATACTACAGACTTTGATATTTTACTTTATAACAATCACTATTGTAATTTGGTTTTCTATGGTTTAAAATCTGAACCTGAGGGATAGTGTAATGACTGCCTACTATGATACCGTGACATGTGACTGACAACACATACATGTATGTACAGTTTAATTTCTGTTGATTGGCTTTTTGTGTGCTTTTGACATTGCTTTGCATTTGTTTAGTCCCTGTGTTCAATTTGGAATAAACATAGTCAAAGATCAGGTCTTTATCTATAACATTTTATATATAGATAGCCTGATCAATAATGTTGGTTGCCCAGCGTCATGGCTATATTGCAGGCGCTGGCTTGTTGGTTGTAAACGTTATTATGTAGTTGGTTGTAATGCAATATTTGTACTTTTATTACATGTGATGATTATAAATAAAATTTTAAATAAATTTGTTTGATGTAACTATTGGACTTTTTTTAATGTGTTTTCAAAGAATATCCTGAGTTCGAAACGCTGCAAATGCTGCTGGAATAAAACTCCAGTTTACTGTAGGTTGGAGACCACCTTCAATATCACCTGCAGTATTGGATTAGTAAATTATCTGTCAGAAACAAAAGCTATCAGGAAGGTAATTTGAATTCACCTTGCTTAATTGGAACTAAACTTAAACAGATACATGATACAAAGGGGACAAAGCCTATTGATTTTGGGGTTGATAGGTTAAAGCTAAAGGTTCACTTACTACAAATAGATTTTTAATAAATATTATAAATGCTTCTCAGATGACTTGAGTTTCCCTTGCTAAAGGGAGGTTGATGCAGTTTCAGGGGAAGTAACTTTACGCAATAATGTGTGTTCAAAGTCCAGCTGTTACAAGTTTTGTTTATGGTGATGTCAAAATAACAAATTCTGATCACAGGCCAAAAAATTGGAAAACTAAAACATTGAACAAAACTACCAATCGAATGAGTATCAAAAGAAATTTTTTTTAATTTTCAAGTGAAGCAGGAAAATATTTGTTTATTTCCAAATTTTTCTGAACATCGGAAAGAATTTTTTATTAACAATAAAATGTTTAAGCTTTCTTTTATTAAAAAAATGACAATTAAAGAACCTTGTAAATTTGTTCAATATAGATGAACAAATTTAATATGTTAGGCATTTAAAACATTCAATATGGTTTTTAGGGGAAATAAAATGGCTAATATGTTACTTTATTAGCTCACAGGGGCCCAAAGGGCACCATGTGAGCTTATGCCATCACTTGGCGTCCGTTGTCGTCGTCTGTCGTCGTAAACTATTTCAAAAATCTTCTCCTCTGAAACTACTGGGCCAAATACCTTCAAACTTTAACTAAATGTTCCTTAGGGTATTTCTTTATAAATTGTATCCGAAATTTTGATCCATCGACAAACATGGCCATCATGGCTAAAAATAGAACATAGGGGGCAAATGCAGTTTTTGGCTTATATCTCAAAAACTAAAGCTTTTAGAGCAAATCTGACAGGGGTAAAATTGTTCAATTGGACAAGATCTATCAGCCCTGAAATTTTCAGACGAATAAAACAACCCATTGTTGTGTTGCTGCCACTAAATTGGTTATTTTAAGGAAGTTTTGCAGTTTTTTGTTATTATTTTGAATATTATTATAGATATTTATAAACTGTAAGCAGCTATAATGTTCAGCAAAGTAAGATCTACTAAAAAGTAAAATGACCAAAATTGTCAATTGACCCCTTAAGGAGTTATTGCCCTATAAAGACAATCTTGCACAATTTGTTCATCAAGTTTGCAAACATTTAAAAATCTTCTCCTCTGAAACTACTGGGCCAAATACCTTAAAACTTTAACTAAATGTTCCTTAGGGTATTTAGTCTATAAATTGTATCCGAAGTTTTGATCCATTGACAAACAATTAACATGGCCGCCATGGCTAAAAATAGAACATAGGGGTCAAATGCAGTTTTTGGCTTATATCTCAAAAACTAAAGCTTTTAGAGCAAATCTGACAGGATAAAATTATTCAATTGGTCAAGGTCTATCAGCCCTGAAATTTTCAGACAAATCGAACAACCCATTGTTGGGTTGCTGCCACTAAATTGGTAGTTTTAAGGAAATTTTGCAGTTTTTTGTTATTATCTTGAATATTATCATAGATAAATATAAACTGTAAAAGCAATAATGTTCAACAAAGTAAGATCTACAAAAAAGTTAATATGACCAAAATTGTCAATTGATCGCTTAAGGAGTTATTGCCCTTTAAAGACAATTTTACACAATTTGTTCATCAAGTTTGCTAACATTTAAAAATCTTCTCCTCTGAAACTATTGTGCCTAATACTTCTTAACTGTAAATGAATGTTCCTTTAGGAATCTAGTTTATGAATTGTATCCGAATTTTTGATCCATCAACAAACATGGCCACCATGGCTAAAAATAGAACATAGGGGTCAAATGCAGTTTTTGGCTTTTATCTCAGAAACTAAAGCATTTAGAGCAAATCTGACATGGGATAAAAATGTTTAAAAGGTCAAGATCTATCAGCCCTGAAATTTTCAGACAAACCGAACAACCCATTGTTCGGTTGCTGCCACTAAATTGGTTATTTTAAGGAAATTTTGCAGTTTTTGGTTATTATCTAGAATATTATTGGAGATAAAGATAAACTGTAAACAGCAAAAACGTTCAGCAAAGTAAGTTCTACAAAAAAGTTTTTAATATGACCAAAATTGTCAATTGACCCCTTAAGGAGTTATTGCCCTTTAAGGACAATTTTACACAAGTTGTTTATGTTTTTTAACTTTAAAAATCTTCTCAAATGAATCTAGTATAAATTTTGTATTTTATTTCCTTGTCAAGCAACATAGACACTATGGCTCAAAAGGAACATATGGGTAAAATGCATTTATTTGCTTTTGAAGAAAATATGACAGATACAATTAACATTTAAATGGCATTTTTAAGCCACTCATTAATATATATTGAAAAGCAAAAATAATCATTGATCAAAGATTTAAGCAAAAAAAATTACAGGTGAGCGATTCAGGCTCTTGAGAGCCTCTTGTTTTTCATTTATGAACATCTATAATTCAAACAAATTTCACTGTTTTATGGCAAAATTATTTGTTTTATCAAAATAACAAATGGGCAATTCAACGTAAAACTGTATGAAGTTCAGAACTCCCTTTAATTTGAAAGATGGTAGGAAAGAATCCGAATGATTTTTGGTGAACAGGTCAAAGTTCAATGCAATTGTTACTAAAAAAAAAACATTTATGTTTTTTGGAAAATGCTTTCCAGATAGTTATGAAAGGCTTCCTTGCTTAATTGAAACAATACTTATACCGATGAAGGATATATCGGGGGGAGAAGCTTATTGCTTTTTGGGTCAAAGTTCAAGTTGGCTGTTGTTAAAAGTTCGGGTTTTTTTAAAGAAAAACAATAGTTTCCTGATGGTTACTTATTTCCTTTTTGGTTTTAGATTAAACTTATGTTTAGAAATAATCCTGTAGATTTTCAGTCCAAGGCCATGGTCACATGCTTAAGTGTTTAGAGATAGCAAAGGAGGAGAAAGTTGCTTTCTAGATGAAATCTCTTAAATCTGTTTTGTAATTTTTCTGGAACGTTTCATTGAGCATGTGCCTCCAGATCTGGTTTTATAGCCAGGGTAAAGGAGACCCTTGTTCAATTTTAAAGGGGGAATAAAATCTTTTTGAATATATATATATACATATTAATTTAGCAAGATGACACAGCGTGTGCTTCCAGACGTGGCGTACTAGCCAGTAGCCAGGGTCTTGGAATCCTTTTTTTAAGGGGAATGCCCCAAGGCTTTTTTTTCTGTGTATTGATATTTTGGAGAAAGTATTAATAACAATTTCGCTTTCTAGATAAATTACTTTTTATACTCTCAGAAAAAAAATTAGGAGCATATAGTCGTGTTGTAGATTACTCGAGTATACCTGAGACTACTATAATCCAGTATACCATTATGAATTGTAACACATTTGCTACAGTTGAAAAATTACTGATATAAGTAAATGTTTTCTAAGTCTCTTTATTCATACCATTTGGCACCCTTGAAACACAGGACCGTGAGACCATACATGGCACACGTTTTGCTTTCTCTAAATATATGCGATTCAGGCAGTACCAACTTTTACTTATTTTTTAATGGTTTAGATCATAATAAAGATAGTCTGTTGACAATTAATGTCAAATCGAAATGAGAATTTAGAAATTTATGCACAAAATAAGTAATAATAGGTTAATAGGTCAGCTGATTAAAGAACGAGCAAAATCTATTTTTTTATATTTTAAATTAAGAGAAGAAAATATATTACAAATACCATACAGAAACTAACAACAGAAATAGGTTTGTAGTGGAAGAAGAAAAAAAAACTTAAATCCCTAAAGAAACTCTACTATAATCTACTTAAGAAATGCTGATTTTATCGAGGGAATCTGTCTTGATATACTAAAAATTGAGCGATGATGACAAACATTTACAGATCTGAAAAGAATGAAAAATAACACCAGTCCATGCTACAGTGGTTTCAACACATATTTTATTTCAATTAATTGCTTTGATATTCATCGGTAAATTAAATTTAAGATCTGTAAATTTTGTCGATTGATGTATTTCTCCTTTTTACAGGAAAAAAAACATAACTTTCAAAATCTTGAGAATTCATTTTTTAAAAGGCGCATTTATAACTTATTCGGAAACTAACTCCACTGACTGACAGCCGGTCAGACGAACTGTCAAAACAATATACCTTGTAATCTTTTTCCTGTTAAACTGTTACATTATCTGCAGATGAGCTATTTTTTTATGTATTTACACGCATCTTAAATTTTGAGGAAACGTCCAAAACAAGCTACTGGGTATAACTTCAACAGTTCAATTAAGGCAAGTTCTAATTTTCGCTTCATAGTCCCCTTTTTTCGCACACCACAGTTATGTACAAAAGTCACAATTTTTATTTGGGAAAAATCTTATGCCAGTGTTAGGAGCAATTGTTGCCTGTGTATGGAAGGGAAACACTATCTGAGTTAAAAATTTAATCGTCTGTTCATACTGGAAAATTATATCAAATCGCAACACAAAAAAAACCCAAACATAAAAATTTAATCGTCTTTTTATAATAGAAAATTATATCAAATCGCAACACAAAAAACCCAAACAGATAAAAATTTAATCGTCTGTTTATAATAGAAAATTATATCAAATCGCAACACAAAAAAACACTAACAGACATAAGCAAGCTGCATTAGAGACATATAATACAATTGTATCATATGTCTCTGGCTGCATTAATGAACAACTATATGTTACTAAAATAAAAATGTGAAATTACTTATATTAATTATCAGAGTTGAGAGTTGTCTTTGTACACAAGTACATACATCTGTATTCTCTACTGTTAATGTCCTTTAATGACGCTGAACGTTCGCCAAAT